AAGGGAAACAACTGGAAATACTTGGACAGTTGTCAACAGACGACAGGCACAACTATAGAGCACTGGTAGCTGCTCTAGAACTCTGGTATGGAACTCAAAATCAGTCCAACGACTACAGGGCTAGGTTTAGGACAAGAGTCCGTGCTAAAGGGGAGATCCTGCAAGAGCTGGCACAAGATTTGGAAAGTATGGCACACAAGGCCTACCCAACTGCACCACGCAATGTCCTCAAGCTGTTGCTGAGGGATCAGTTCGTAGACGCCTTGGACAGTCCACAACTGAAAATACAAGTGAAGCAAGCACACCCCTCTACTATACAAGATGCAATGGCCAGAGCTCTTGAATTCGAATGCTACGTTAAGCCCAGCACAGGGGTACCAAGGTCATCAGGATTCAAGGCCAGAAAAGGGCAGCTTTCAGAGAAGTTTGAGGAATTTGCTGGCACTGTAACAAACCTGGGCACAAGAGAGCTCAATGCCGGCAACTTCAACACAGGGAAGATGCCATGGCAGGAAAGGTAGCTACCCAGAAAGCTTGTTGGAACTGTGGAGAGCAGAACATATGAGGAGCCAGTGTAAGAAGAATACTACCATAAGTCAGCCTCGGGGAAACCAATAGTAATTCATGTTGATGGACGCCTACCAACCCCCATTGTGAAAGTCCCAACAGCTAGGTGTAAAATGTCTACGTGACAGGAAAGCTGGATGGACAAAATTGCAACTTCGTCATAGATTCTGCATTTCAGCAAACCCTTGTGAATATCAAGGTGCTAGATCACAAAGGGGTACCAGAAGCCATACAGAGGCTCCCTGGTGTGACAGGACATTCTGCAAGGTTGTGAGGACCAGTGTGGGTAACTATTGAGCTCATGAGCATAAAGGACAGACACAAAGTATACTTGTCTGACATTGAAGATCCATGCATATTTGGGTTGGACTACTTACTACTGAGGAATTGTGTAGTTAACTTTGATAAAATGACGTTTAGGAACAGCAAAGGCCAAATTCCAATAAGTATTAAAAGACAGGTTGGAATAACCAAGTGCAATCAAGCTGAATTCAAAGTGACTGAAAGAGCTGATGATGGTGAAGTGGAACCAAGTATAGATATTAAATCAGAGCAGAAGAAAGACCAATATTTGAAGCCAATAATTAATTTCCTACAAGAAAGTGTTTTGCGCTCTGCTTGGGAGAATGTGTCTAGCTTAAGCCCTGTGACAAAGAACTATTGGGCACAATGGGACCAGTTGAAGCTTGAAGATGGTATTCTTCTCCAGAGATGGGAAACTGCAGATAGGAAAGTGACGACCTGGCAAATGGTTATACCGATAAAGTTACGGGAAGTTGTGCTGCGTCAATCCATTGATAGTTTAATAGGAGAACATCTCAGAGTTAAGAAAATATTGAGTCACCTACGGCAGAGATTTTACTGGGTAGGTATGAGGCAAGATGTGGAAGGATGGTGCAGGACATGCAGTACATGTTGTGCAAAAAGGGGCCAAAGCATAAGGGATTTGCCCCAATGAAGTTATATAAAGTTGGTGCACCAATGGAACGAGTTACCGTTGACATTGCTGGTCCTTTGCCCCAAACTCGTGCTTGAAACAAGTACATTTGTGTGGTAATGGATTATTTCACCAAGTGTCCTGTGGCATATGCAACACCAAGTCAGGAAACTACAACTGTAGTTTCAGCTGTTAATGATTTCTTCTTCAGATTTGGTATGCCATACGAACTGCATTCAGATCAAGGCCGTAACTTTGAATCAGCTGTGTTCCAAGAATGCTGCAAGTTGTTTGGCATCCAAAAGACCAGGACAACGGCACTTCACCCCCAGTCCGCTGGGATGGTAGAAAAGTATAATTGGACACTGGGACAGGAGTTGGCAGAGTTTTGTAATAGCCGCCAAGATGACTGGGATGTCTTACTCCCTTCACTATTGATGGCCTATAGAACAGCAGAGCACGAAGCCACCGGATACGCTGCAGCAAAGCTGATGTTTAGTCGGGAACTTCGGTTGCCAGTGGATCTGATAACAGGACGCCCACCTTACGAAGAGTTGCCTGAAAATGTGTCAGAGTTCGTGAAAGTGTTATGTGAAAGGATGGATGATATTCATCATCAAGTGTGTTCAAACTTGAAAACGTCTGCTGATTCGATGAAGCTATCTTATGATAAGAGATCGACTGAAGTCAGCTTTGAACCAGGAGACAAGGTGTAGTTGTATGATCCCAGGTAGACCAAAGGGAAGTCTCCTAAGGGAAGTCTTCTAAAAACCGTTCGCTTCTCATTGCAAACCCAAAAGATTGCTGACGAAAACATTATTTCCGTATCCGTCAATAAACATTTTAATATGGTGTTTCATCTTGTTTGTATTCTTTTACATAATAACAAGTACTGTACAGTAAATGTGTAAAGATGTTTTGAATAATTATGTGTCGTACTTTTAGTGATGAGGATGGGTCATGTAATTATTAAAACGTCGGACCAAATTATATATAAAAAATTACAACTAGATTACAAATAATATTATATTGTTCCCGTAACTCAGTCCACTAATGTACTGAAAGATCAGATGCTTTATATATGGTGTGAGAAAAGTTGTTTTTTTCTAGTTATTTAATGTGTAATATTTCTAACCGCATCTTCCCGCACCACATGTGATATTGCATCCAAATTTATCAGACATGGATGTTTAATCTTCATGGTTTATTTCTAGTTCCTATCACTAATGGCAAAAAAAAACAAAAAAAACAGTTATATAAATCGGGCTAGGGCCTGGC